ACAACCAACGCGTAACCTTAACAACCAATCCGTAACCTTAACAATCGACCCGTAACATTCACAACCAACGCGTAACCTTAACAACCAACACATACCCTTCACAACCAACCCGTAACACCTTCACAACCAATAGTATCCTTCACAACCAATCCATTCCTCCAATATAAATAACCCCCTTTCCTCCCCAAAGCCAATCTTCACCCCCATCAATGGTCGTTGATCTGATAAACTTCTAAAAAATGGATGATCAGATCGCGATCAATGAAGCAGCCATCGCCAGCCTCCAAAGCATGGAAGCACTCATCCTCACCCTCAGCCATCAATCTTCGTCATCTTCTCCTTTGAATGCTCAGCCATCACCGACAACACCGTCTCTAAGTTCAAGATGTTCATCAACGCCCTCGATCGAAGAGCCACGCCCAGTTCAGGCGCGGCCCGGTCTAGCCTCCAACCGAATCCTCGTCTCCGCTGCGCTCTTCGATGACTGTAGCTCGGCCAGCTCCGATTCCTCCTCCAGCGGTGAGTTTCCCGCCTCGAGGGCTCACCATTGACTTCACCAACCCGAACCCACCACCCGCCGGTAAGATCACTGGGAAAGGATAGTTTATTAATGATTCTTTCAGCATCTCACCACCGATCTCCGGTAACTCCTCATTTTCTATCATTGATCACTGCGGATGGAAGTGTTTCCAATGGGAAAGGATCGTCTCTATTCCACCGATGAGGTATTTGCTACATTGTGTTGATGACGTACTCGAACGGGGGGTTCCTGAGGAAGGGGAGTTTGAGGAAGAGAAAGGGTATTATGGTCTTCACATATTTTAATCACTTGGGTTTTGTATTTTAGGGGCTCAAGGAATTATCACTTTACTTTTGGGGGTTTTGGGAGCGTTGAAAAAGTCTTGGGAGGGGGTGGAACACTTGTAATGAAATTGGGGGCTAGAAGAAATTTCCCCTTTAAATAATCTATAATTATGCACATGAGTATATCATATCATGCACACATCGTGTGTAGCATAGTCCAACTGTTAGGACCATGTATGTACAATTGCCTCCGTTTGATCATAACAAACATTCATATGGTTCTAATATGTGTTTGAAATATTTTGTGTAGGTTACAACAAATTAAAATTTGGGTTTGGAGCCGATTGGAGATAGGATTAGCTCATATGCATAATTCTTGCATATACTCATCGATGAGGCAACATGCTTATCGATGAGTATGCTTCCATACCCATCGATTAAAAATAGCCATCAATGAGGAAAATGTCTAGAGAATTTTTCAAAATCATAATCAACATTGGGCACCCCTGCTCATCAATGAGGCTAGTGCAGGTTTGAGTTTTGAAGATCTATTTTGAGATTAAATTAGAGTCATTCGTTGCAGCTGGTATATAGGCTCTTTCCTCTCATTTTTCATAAGAGAATTATTGACCTACATAAAAGAAAAAGGAGGAGGTGGGGTGGGTGGCGTTATCTTTGGTGAAGGAATCTTGCTCAGACTTCTTAGATTACGTCCTACTTGAAATCTTCAATAATTGATCATCAATCTACGATGAGTACTGCCATTGGATGTAAATATCAACAGCGTTCTTCTAGAGCTTCACTTAGATCATTAGAGAACAATTTGGTTAATCGAAAGGGTTGTAAGATGATTCTTATTTGTGCTTAATGATATTGGTATTCTATACAGCTCACTTTTTTACGATTGATCGAGTGTATGATTGTGATAGTGTACTCAAGCCGAGGTTTGATTTTAGGTATCTTTATCACCAGGTAGAGTTAGGATTACTCATAGGTAATAGGTTATGTTAGACGATTAGTTTGGGAGAAACTAAGATTTTGATCTTGTAAGCTTACCGGATCATATTTATGATTCAAAGTGAACTTTTCATCATAGTGAGGAAGCGCCTTTGATAAAAGGAAGAGTGGATGGAGGATTGTTTATCCGGACCACTATAAAAATCTTGTATGTTCTGGCTGCTACTGTTCTGAGCTATTGGGCTACTTTCTGTTTTGCATACATTTGTTTAACCTCCGCCACAATATTGTCTAAAGTCAAAAAATAGAAAACAATCATATTCACCCCCCTCTAGACTTACGTCTTAGACTCCTTCACTAGTTTTATATTGCTTTATATTATAATAATACTTGATATATATTCTAAAACTTAAGTGGACGTCCATTAAGTTGGACGTCCACTTAAGTGGACGTCCACTAAGTTTTTTAGTCATTGATGATCACTTGATTGAGCTACATTGTGGATGATCCGTTCCGTTGAACTTAATCTACATATTCTAAAAACCTAACACATCAAATTTAGGGTGAACCCGTCATGGTTTGACCCTTCATCTACTCGTATCAATTTTAACGATTTCGAATGAATAGAACTTTTTACATGGCTCGACGGAGGGTCAAACCATGATGGGTTCACCCTAAATTTGATGTGTTAGGATTTTAGAATATGTAGATCAAGTTCAACAGAGCGGATCATACACAATGTAGCTCAATCAAGTGATCATCAATCACTAAGAAACTTAGTGGACGTCCACTTAAGTTGACATAAGTTTTTCTCAAAAAAACCCTAGGCCTGCACTTAAGATCCCAACACTTAGTTGGAAACAATTAAGAAGAATTTAATAATAGTTAACTTGACAGAGGAGATGATACAAAATAAAGCTGATGACCCCAAGAATTGGGGATGCAGACTTCGTTGTTGCTATTGTTGTTGCTAATTGTTATTTATCTTATCAGATTTGAAACCGTGTTCTTTTGGTTCCATCATAAAATCCCTATCATCATATAAAACTATGAATTTGCGGTAGAGATCGTTGGGGAGCTTTGCTACAGTGACCCAAAATATGAGACCAATAGAGGGGACAAGTGAGGTGTCTCCCTCCTATTTGATAATGAGTTGGCCATCATTAATGATGATCAACTCATTATCCAATAGGAGGGAGACACCTCACTTGTCCCCTCTATTGGTCCCATATTTTGGGTGCTTGAGGAATTTTTCTTTTTATAAACTCGTTTAAGTTGAGCAATTTAAAATTGTGGTTACCATTAAGAACCGTAAATCTATAAAGTAATAAAGGTGAAACGCGTATTGATTTGGCTTTTAAATCTCAAAAAGAAAAAGAGAGAAAATGAAGAATTATGGGTAGCTCGATGTCTGTAAAGAGAGGAAAATTAGATGAGTTGCCCCCACGTCTGAAAGGGGGGTGCATTACTTCCTCCAACCTCCTCAAAGCGAGTATTGGCTGACTTGTTATGTGCGGAGACCAACGTGCAGTCCGCGGGTAAAGAAACCAAGGCAGCAACGAGAGAGAATATTGATCTCCTTCACATGGGTGTTGGGTTTGCAAGGATTGGCTGGGTGTGGGCTGGCACCCAAGCTCACGTGTTCTTCCTCCTCTTTGGCGGACGAGCAGTGTGACTGTGCTGCAGTATATATTTGCATATATATGGACATTTCACAATTCACGTATCCAGTATTAATTAGTTAACGAGTTGAGTAATAAATAACCAGTTATTAAGTTAACGAGTTGTTAGTGAATGTGTAGATTGCCTGCAATTTAGCCCTTCCACTGTTGTTGGTCTGACGTGCACATGCAATTCTAAATCTAACTTTAAACAGGCGTCACTATTATTGTCGTTTCCTCTACGTTGGTGGCTACTTCTGAGAGCACGTACGATTTGATGAAATTATTTATCACTCCCTGGCAGGTTTTTCACCAAACCGAGATTCCTCATAGAAAAAGGAGGAAAAAGGGATTAAAAAAAAAGGACAGAAACTTTGTCTAAAAAGTTTCGTTGAATACGCGTACTGATTATTATTGTTGTTGTTATTATTATTATAATAAAAGGCTAATATGAGACAGCACAGCGGGGAACCTGTACTCCAAAGGCTGGAATCCTTGTGGAAAGGGCGCTGCTATTGTGCTACAGGGATCCCAAATAGGGGACCCAATGAGGGACAAGTGAGGTGTCCCCTCTAATTGCGTGATGCACTGTTCAATCGGCGGGGGGCGGGGGGACACCTCATCTGTCCCACCATTGGGTCCCCTATTTAAGGTCCCTTAGGCATTAATCTTATGGAAATACAAAAACAATTTGGCCACCAAAGTATTGATGAACTGCAAGTAACTAATGAGAATATTAGAAGCGGTGAATCTATCTATTAATAGACTTTGATTAACGCATGGATGCGAATACCTCTTAATTCAAATAGTATCTACTCAAGTGCTTTAAAAATAAAAATGCATATTTTGGGTATATTTGGTAAATGATCGAAGACGCTTGTAAGTCACTTTAAGATGTTGGCAAGTGACTTAATTGGTTTATAACCCGCTAAAAAATAAGCTACGTTTTCTCAGCTTCAATTTTTTAAATTGTATGCGTTTGACCAAGTAAATACTTATAATTTCATAAATTTAAAGCCTCATTAACTCACCATCAATTCCATATTCTTTTGTCATTTTGACAACAACAATAGATTGTAATCCATCCATTTGTTAAACACTCTACAACTTAAAATGTGTTGTGATCCTCTAAATTTACTAAATGCTCTATATTACAATCTTCTATACTACAATCTAAGTTAGACTATAATCCGAAGTTACTAAACATGCTCTTTCTAAGGAAAGAGAGTTTTTACAGCCAAACAGAAGACGCATCTAGCAATTAGAAGCGGTGACCTTTCATCTTTGGATTGGGATCCTCTACTAATGAGGACCCTTCCTAAGATCTCCTCATGAGATTTTTCCCTTTGATTTATCAATCAAAGAAAAGTAGGGAGGAGGAAGAGAATGAGATCTTGACCTTTGATTGATAAATCAAAGGCCAAGATCTCCTCATTAGGAGATCTGAGGAGAATCCTCATTAGTAGAGGATCTCAATCCTTTATCTTTTAGGGACCTATTTTGATTATATTAAATTACCTTAGATGATCCACTATAGAGACAATTAAGTAGTCTCAATCCACTGGCAGATAAATGGAATAAGATAATTGACCACTGCAGATCCTGCCAGTACATGAGGCGTATAAAAGCGAGTTCCCAACATAACAAACATAGCCAACAAATTAAAACACACACAGGCATTCAGTGAGACACCCAAAATAACCGTGGCTAGTGATCATTACATTTTCTATATAAGAAGAAACATATTTTCCCCAGGAAAATATCTGAACTAGATTGAATGGGTATAAGATCACCATAGGTACAAGCCGTGAATAGAGGGCAAGAAAGTCTTCACATCCTTAGCTACAGCAAACCACAAGCCACTTCAGAGAAAATGTGATTCACCCACCAAATCTCACCAGGTCAGCTAAAAATCTTCTGATATAGGCTAAGTAACTTCAAGGTGAGAGAAGTGATCCTTACAGGTCTGCAGAACCCGGCCACGAATGAACCTCAATGAGCAAAAGCCAACGAAAGCTAACTTTCGAACTCCATTGCTGCGATGCATTAAGTATACAAAATTGACTGTCCACAGTTGTTTACCTGAGAATCTGATACTTCATTCGAAGATCCTTCCTTGATGCAAGTAATAGAACTACCTCAATTGAACAAAAGAGAGAACAGATTTGTATATCCTCTATGCTCTATAACATAAGACAAAGCCTAAATGTGTTCCAATTTTGATTCCACAGAAAAACCTGCAAAATATAAAAATAATGTCCGTAAGCTTGTGAGTAACATTATAGTAGTTATTTCAGGGTAATAGCTCCTGGTTTCCTATTTACTGTTCCCATTATTTCCAAGGAGAAAGAACAAAAAAGACACTGTTTATTTCGAAGCATGTCGTATGGAAATGAGAAATGTGAACTAACTCGAGGAACCAGGAACAATCATTGTGTTTGCACTTACCACGAAGAATAACACAGAATTGTTGGAGGAAAACTCATGTACAGAATCTCGCTGGAGGTGCTACCATGGGAATCTGAAAAGCAAAAACAACCAATGGCAATAATCATTATACATGATGCTTCAAATACTAAAAAAATAAACATTTTTTCCTCCTGAACAACAATCTGGAAGGCAACAAAATGACAAAGGCTGCAATTTGACAATCAAGAACTTACCATCAATTTTCACAAAGAATTAAAAGTTTTGGACAGTTGCAACAACTTTGTAAATAGGGTGAAATTTGTATATAACTGACTACTAAAGGTTTGAACACCTCGGGGTGTTTGCACAAAGAATGCGTCGATACTCAGAAGAGTAAAATAGGTAAAGAGACGTGGGCCTTTTAGCTCTTGAGAGTATTCAATCAGGCCCAGATTGTAAAGTTAGGGGTCAGAGGCAATTGTATTATGCTTTCTCAGGAAAGAGTTCCTAGTCTACAATATATACCATCCAAGTACGTGCAAGATTCCTTCTTCAACCATATTAGGTGGTAAATGAAAGGAGAAATTGACCTATGTTTATTGACGTTTTTCCAATTTGTCTTCGTACAGGCAACCAAGGACGGATGTCAATTGGATAATAGGGAGATTTGGGTGATTGGAATTTTCATCAAAGAAACTTTTTAAGCCAAGAGCTATATAGCACACACGCTTCTATTTTTGAGCAATATCATGTTATCGACATGTTAGTCAGGGTGTAGTTGATGTGGTAATTCTAGTTGCACCATTACTATTCGGTATGTATTTTAGTTACATGTTTTATTGTGTTGATATATGTGCTTCTTAACAGAATCTAAATTAGAAAAATAGTAGAACCATAGCAGCACATAAGATGCAAATTCCTAAAGGTCACAGAAGTAGGTGCATCCACAGTCCTTTCTAAGCTTTTGAACATAATGATGATATAGAATTTGGAGTGAATCAAAGAAACTTTTTAAGCAAAGAGAAGCCATAACCCCTCTTTTAGATCCTGATTTTACTCTCTGCAACCACTGTTTCAAAGAGCTTAGTGAATAGTAAGAAAGAAAAAAGAAATAGGAGAAGGTGAAAATAGAGAAAGGAAGGCAGAGAAGACAATGGGAAAAAGTAAAGAAAAAAAATTAAGGAAAATAAAACTGTAGTACACATAAGAGGAAGAAAGGAAAAGGCCAGTAGAGGAAAACAAGACAAAGATAGAGAAGAAAAATGTATAATAGGTATGTGAAAAATTAAAAGAATGAAGAGGACAAGTAGAAAAACCAAAGAAAAAATAATTTGAAACAATATATAGTGAATTCTACACTATTAATAATTGTCATATTCACAAGACAGACATGAATTATTTGCCTCCCAACAAGGCACATCCTTGCTTATAGGATGTGCCACCCAGCCCTCATACAGGATGCTAAGATTCTGTTCCAAAGTGTATGGCGCCTGAGGCGATCACCTCCCCCATACTCAGGTAGAAAAGTATGAGAAATTAATGGCAGGAGCTCCAAAATAAAAATTGGGCAAGCTACCATGTGATTTATGCATATAATATACTTATTTTAAAGTCAGGAATTTCATATAACTTCCAAATGGCACCCTGATTCATCATTTGTCCAAGAATAAAGCTCAATTTCTAAAAAAAAAAAACCAAGAAGCCTTCTAGGCAGGAAGAAAGTTTGATCTTCCCTTAGGTGAGCTACTAAAGTAAACTGACATGATTCAACAAAAGATGTAGTTCATTTCAAGTTATGAGTTTCATACCTCCCCTACAGCCCATTCATTCTTCAACCAAATACTATCGTCAGCACCATCTTCTTGCTTGTCCCTGCAACACAAAATGCCAGTCAACAGAAGATACACTTCAGCATTTGCAAGGCTATTAAGCTAGAGCTTTTTAAAACCAATATCTAAGACTGATGTGGTATCCTAGGATAAGATCATGAGATGATAGTGCATAGAGGCATTTTACATTTTCTAGATAACAATATTCATCATCAGATCCATATTTACTTACATGCAGGTTAAAGTGAAAAAAAAATCTAGATTTTCCCCTCCACTTCACCACATTTCGCTTTTTCAGCCTCTAGCTTGGTAATTTATCTGTTAATCTCATTCTTCTCAAGCCATCATGATTGTCATCACACTGGAATATCTATTTTGAGTCACAGGTTCATTGTTATAAATAGCGGTAAATAGCCCCGCAATAGCGGCGCTAATAGCGTTAGCAGTACCTTCCCGCGACGCTGTCGCCCGCTACGCTATCGCGCAATAGCGGTGACATATTGCGGAATATGTCTGTTCGCAAAAGCGGCCAATAGTGTGTCATAATGGTAAATAGTGAGCAATTGCATTCGAAATTTGCTTTTTGACTGCTATTTAAAAGCGGTTTGAGACTTATTTTTTTAAAAATTAAACTCAACCATTGACCATTACATTCCACCGTCACCTGTGATTTTTAGCATACTCCCGCCATCTCTCATAGTCTCTGGCACCTACCTTGATACTTCCTCTCACCTCCTTCATCGTGAGCTCCTCTTAGGGCAGTCCTGTCACCGCTAAGCTCTTCTTCTCGAAGAAGACGACTTTTTGACTCCTCCAGTCATCTTCGGTATTACGTTGTCACCGCTAAGCTCTTCTTCTCGAAGAAGACGACTTTTTGACTCCTCCAGTCATCTTCGGTATTACGTGATGGTTACATGTCTATTTCATGTTTATCCTCCAGTCATCTTCGGTATTACGTGATGGTTACATGTCTATTTCATGTTTAGGATCTCTTTAAATCACCCAATATGTACTTTTAGATTTTTTAGATTTTTCTTTAATTTTTCTTTTTTAGTATTTATACATATCTAAATTAGACCGCTATTTGATTTTACGTTTTTTACCGCTATTTTGCCGCAATAGTCAGAAATAGCCTTAGCGATACCTCACCGCTACGCGACGCTATCCGCTATCGATAACCTTGCACAGGTTTGATTAAACCCAAGTTATGAATATAATCAAACATCTTGCAGATAAAATTACAAATGAATATCCAAAGATCTCTCATTACATAACCTTAAGCATAATACAAATTTAGTTCTATATGCTCTGTTTATTTCTTCAGTACATTGTTATTCCTCAATCAAAATATTCTTTCAAAAGTTCTTAAAGCCTTTCAAAGTGGTCATTGTCATATGCAACTTTTTCTCAGCCAGATGAACTTCTTTTTATAAAGATGCATCATCTGATAAAAATCTCAACATGCTACCTCCCTCGTTTATGATAGATTATAAGTTGAACAAGTCTACCGTTATGGTGAAAAATAGTCCTAGTTTCACCTTACTTTCATCCATTACGCGCTATCAACTATCGATGGCTAATTTGTTAATTGAAAGCAAGGGATATACGGTGTAAGCTGTCTGAGCACCGAACAACATTAATTAATGTTTCTCATTAATTTCATCTCCTGTGTAACGTGTGGATGTAATCCAGTAGTGTTTCTGACTTACAATGCAGATTCCTGGTGAACAGTACCAGTAGTAACTCTAGGTGCATCTGGAGAACTTGACCATTGTGTACTATTAGCAAATGGTGTTTGAACCAAAGCGGAGGAGATCGGGTTGCTTCCTGGCGCCATAAAACCATTTTGGAAGTTTGTAGAGTTCGGAAATGGTGAAGTTCCAGATGGCAATGTTGACGGTTGGTTAGTGAATGATCCTGCAACCACACACAGAAGGAAAGCAATTCATTTGCACAGTACAAACTTCCAACAAAACACATTGGTATATAGAGTAACAAATTTATTACAATAGCTCACATTTAAGTCGATTACGGTTCAGCCTTTTAATAGCTAGACCAATTTGAGCATTTGGTTCTAGGCTTACATTATGCCTAATAAGAGGATGCAAATTTTTACCCGCCATTCTGGCAAGGCCCTAACTTGTGCATAGTTGATCTGGCAGAAGTTTGGGCCCAGCTCATAGAGGACAAATATCAAGCTCAAGATTTATTACTATGCATTAAAAACTCAGCAGTCTTCTAGGGGAGTTTGTTCATACTCAATAATTTCACCCCATTTTGACAAGGACAAGGACTCAACACTGATGATAAGAACCTAAAAGATTGTTTCACCTGTGATATTTAAAAACTAGTTAAAGTTTGCAAGATGGTGTTTGGCAGTAACCTATGTCCATGCAAAGACTTTATGTGAGAGTGGAGAATATTTCTTCAGTTATATCATGGCATTAATATAATGCAGTAACACTCAGCTCACAAACATTTTCTATAGATTGCAGCACGCTGTTAAAAACAATCAGGTGAAGATGATCTGTATGTCGGATCATTTCATTAACACAGGGTACAGATAAATGAAGCTTCTTAGATGTTCCAGTCTTTATTCGTCAAATTAAAAAGGACTAAAAAATGAATCTGATTCTAAGGTTCTCCAGTTTCTCATGGACAAATGAACATCCGCAACAATGAGGCCAGGAGTGTTCCAAAGAATAATTAGTTAGGGTAAAATATCTGCAGTGTTAAGACGAATAAACTTGATCTACTGTGTGATACACAAAGAAACGACTATAAAAGTAGGGGATTAGAAATGTCTGGATTAGTGCAACATTGAATCTGTTCTGCAATGTGGAAAAGAAACCCTAAGGGAAATTACACATGTTTCGACTAGTTTAACATTGTGCCGGATAATTTTTAAGAAATACAAGCCCTGAAGTGAAATTTCTTATGCCTGGGCTTCTGACGGTAAGGTGCCAAACAAACCCAGATCTTCGGTGCCAAACAAACCCAGATCTTCGCAAAAATTAAAGATCTCTACTAGCCAAAAGCTAAAGAAGAAAAATACAACATATGAAGGGTGATTTCCATGATAACATTTTTTTAGTTTTTCCTGTTCCCCTATACAAATCAGAAATGATTGGTTTATGAGTAATGAATATTGCAAGTGGACAAAATAGCAGGTTTCTATTTTTTAATGTGAGAGTTTATATATTTCTTGTTTTGAGATTCTGCCTAAGAATTCCTTCACTTTCTCAAATACATTTGCTGAAAAAACTGCAGAGAAAAATTAGTAGTTGACTTAAATAAATCATTAATAAATTATTTAAACCATCAACTTTAATGGAATGACTAACATACAGACGTCACTAACTATATTATTTTGTTTGTGAAAATAAAATAGTTGAGA